ATGCACCAACATATTATCCATCTAATGAATGAATCTAGTTCAAAAGCTATAATATTTTATATAATTTATATAAGAAAAATAATATTACAAAATTTAAAACACAATATATATAGTTGCACAAGTTATATATATTTTGAAGCTGCACAAGTTTCAAAAATAGTTCAGAAGTGGTGCTTCAAAATTTGCATGAGCGCAGCACCTCTCTGTTTACATTACATTACATTACAGCAGCCTTTTTTCCTCCCTTCAGGCAGGCGTGCAAACTTGAAAAAATGATGCCACTGCTCTAAGGACCCACCTCTGAATGCAAGCTTTAAAGCAGCTGAACCTTTTCTCTAGTTCACCTGAAAAGAGACCGGCAGCTGCATTTAGCAGAAAAGAGGCGGTCTGCTTGCATGAGTTCTGAAGCACCTCTTTTGAATCATTTTCAAAGTAGGCCCATCCCTAATACATATATCCATAGATACAAGCGGCCATTCTTTAATAAACCTATACAAAAGTATTGAAATAGTGAACCCAAGGTCCTTCGTACACATTTGGTCTTCTGGTTCATATTTCATAGTTTCTAAACTTCCGCAGAAGTTCGGATGGAGTGTCGCCAGACCAGCGGAAACGCAAGTGCCAGCAGTTTGGATCCGAAAATCCTGTAATGAAAAGAAAATGAATAATTTCTAAGACCAGGAATAGTGCCATGGTTAAAACTAGAGGATTTTTACATCATACAATTACACTTTGTATGTAGGTTGTGATGGTGGTGGTGTCCTGCACTGAAGAACCTGCTATAATCAGATTTACCTGGAGAATCAGGGCTCTTTGGCGACATCAGTTTCTCATCACAGCTATGAAAATCTTCCAGTCCCTTTCTATCATCCAAGAAATCATCACTGTTGATTTCTGCCTTGAGCGGAAAATGGTCAGCCATCTTGCCATTAAGATTTGAATCAGGAGCATCCAACATTGGCTCTTTTTTATCTCTGACAGCCCAATGCATTGACTGTAACAAGAACAAAACAACTGTTTTTAATCTGCTTGCCAAAGGGCCCAGCAAGAAAACAAGCACGTGCACACACTTTGAATGAGCAGAAAAGTTTCAGGTTCATATTGTCGATTATCCTGATGGTATTGTATGTGTTTATATTTCTGCTAGCACCTTAAATTTTAGTTATTCTTATAGTACTGTACGTAGATTGGACTATTGGCACAATGGGATGGCTTTGATTTTAGTGTTGAATATAAATGTTGTTGGTCAATGACCAAAATAGATGATGATGATATGATGATGACGATGATGACAATGATATTAGTAATTTCCAGTGGTACTTTGAGTAATGTGTGTGTGTGTGTATACACACAAAAGGGGTATCTTTAACCCTCCCCCCCAGGACAGTTTTGCCTCCTAGGTTTGTCACAAAGGCCATGACCCTTTTTGCATACAGAATTGTTCCTCTGTTTGGAAAGAATAGTTGTATATTTGTGAAGGAGACCATGCATTCAGGCAAGCACAAGGTTCCAGCCATGTGGCCTCACAGGAGGGCTGAAAAGGGCACCATATAGACTCTGGAGAGCTTTTACCAATCAGCCTAGACTAAGGATAACCACTCTGATCTTTTCAGTTACAGTTCCCATAAGGCTCGGATATCATGGTCAATAGGCTTGGATACCATGGTCAATAGAATAGTGAAGTTGTTGTGCAAAATGCCTGTTTACTGTATAGGAAATACTGAACAAAATGAATTAACTATCTGATTGGGCATAAGGTGACATATAATGCCCCTCAGCTGGAAGTCAATTTTCCTTTTAAATAAGATAGTTGTTTAGATAAGTTGTTTTTGTGTCCCCAGTGTATTTCCCAACCCTGTCATTGGAACTCCATTTATATATTTATTCAGAAAATTTATATGGCTGCCCAACTCAGACAATGTGATTCCGGGCAATGTACAAAAAAGAAAAGGAAAATCAAATCAGCCAATACAGAAACAACACATATCATTAACACCTTCTAAAAGAATAAAATGGTGACCAGAGGTGAGATATATTATAACTCCTCACACTGGGAACTCATCCAAAGGCCTCCAGAAAGAGACAGGTCTTGACTGCCTTTCTAAAGGCCTGCGGGGTCAGGGCCAACTGTATTTCAGGCAGAAGTTCCAAAGGGCAGGGGCCACCACCAAGAAGGCATGCCTCCTGGGTTGCATAAGATGACATTATTCCAAGGAGGGGACACACAGCAGGTTCTCCCTGTTAGAGCATGTGGGACAGGCAGATTTCCTTGGGAGCAAGCAATCCCACAAATAACCTGGTCCCATGCCATGTAAAACTTTAGGAGGGATAACTAGCTCCTTGAATTGTACCCGGAAGCCTAGGGGGAGCCAGTGCAGCTCACAGAATAGGGTGTTATATGGGTGTAACAAGAAATGTCCATAATTCCGTTGCCCAGTAGATAACTTCCCCTCTCACAAATGGGCATAACTGTTCATTTCTCCAGGATGTATAGTTGCATAAAACAAAACTAACTGTTTTCATTGAGTTGCTCAGGGCTTCCCACTGCTGGAAAGGGATAGCAATTTTGCTTCTTCGCCAGTAATCATAACGGGCTCGGCTGTCTTCATTGGAAAGAATCTCTTTTGCACGTTGCAGCTTCTGAAAATTCTCCACTATAAAAGAGACACAGGAGGACATTTTAGGGGGGAAAGCATTCATAGATTTTTCTAGCATTGTAATTAGATTAATTCTTTGTAGGAGTCCGATCAGTGACATACTGCTTTTGATTTATTACATGAAATACACACACCACAGCATGACAAAATGGAATTTCCTTGCTCAATCTCCAATGCCTCTGCAACAGACAGTTGATGAGAATCAGGCAGCATACAAGTTTAACAAGTTGTTGTTGTTATTGTTGTTGTTATTATTATTATTTTCAAAGGACAACAGATATTCAGTCCTGACTGAGATGCAAAGAATTCATGCTTATAAAGCCGTCTCCAATGATATAGATATATTTGTGTTTTAAAAGAGAATTATTCTTCTTTCTGCATATTATGTAGGAGAGTGAGAATATTTGAAAGCAGCATTCCTGATGAATTCTCCTGTGCCAAAGGCATTATCCAAGGTGGCCTTCAGCTTCAAGCAAGACTCAGGCTGAGTCCTGACCTCACATCTGCCCAGGAGCCTAGAGCAGTGTTGTCCAAACTTGGCCACTTTAAGATGAGTGGACATGGCTGGCTGGGAAATTCTGGGAGTTGAAGTCCACACCTCTTAAACTTGCCAAGGTTGAGGAACATTGCTTTAT